CCGTCGGCGGTTTGGTGGTGAACTTGTTCGGCATGCTTGCCTTTCGCGGTTCGCACGAGCACGACGAACATCCTCATGGCCATTCACACAACGGCGGTAGCTCACATTTGCCTTCCCATACTCACAGTCATACGCATTCGCATGGCCATTCGCACTCCGGAAACGCGAACATGAAAGGTAATGTGTGATTTGCGTGTTCCAACCTCTGATCACATGTTTTGTTGTTAGGCGTCTTTCTCCACGTGATGGCTGACACGTTGGGATCGGTTGCGGTGATCATCAGCTCGGTGCTTATTCAGAAGTTTGGCTGGCTTATTGCTGACCCCATTTGTTCACTTTTACTTTCGTTGCTGATTGCAGCGAGCGTCATACCTCTTTTGCGTGACTCGGCCGCAATGCTGTTGTTGCATGCGCCGGAAGAAATAGGTCCTGAAGTTGACAAAGCGTTACAAAGTGTAGGCGGAGTTTTGAAACTTAAAAGTGAAAATGGTGTATCGCACCAAGCGCATTCCTTCGATTGGCGCATGCTTTACACGTTTTTCAGCTGTATAACATTATTGCATTTTTCCTACATGGCAAATGCTATGAAAAAAAGACACGCACAACAAAGTCGATGATCGAACCGTCATCCTTTCGACTTCTAAATTTTGCATATGGTTTATGCCTATAATTTTAATGCGTCACAGAATTTCGTCGTAGAACAACAGAATATTGCTTGAAGTTGAACTTAGTTGCACGTAATAATTCGGTGTCTCGTTTTTATAGATTTTATCTTTGAACGGTGTTGTATCATACGGTGGCTCTCGAATATGGCAAGTTAAATCGGGAAGCACCGTTGGAGCTTTGAAAATTCAGGCTGATCTGAGCGTTGACCAGCAAACACTGACACAGCAGGTACGATTGTATGTATGCCTCAACTCTCAGCTGAATATGTTAGACTTCAAACTTGATAATAACATCTTTCGTGTATTTTCCTGTCGGGTCAGTTCCTGTACTTCAGAATGATGGGGTATTCGATCCGCCTTAACCAAGAAAAGCATAATACGCACTAGAATCGTTGTTTTGAATTTTTAGTTACGTTTCCGCATCACGGCGCAACTGTTTACGTCCATAAAGATAGACTTAAAACCAAGTTCAATAGGTCGCCAATCAGATGAAGCCCTTACAAAATTACCGTTAACCGACGACTGTTACATACATACATACATACATTCATACATACATACATACATACATACATTTTAATCCTGGTGACCGTGCAGTTCATGTTTGAGTGTACGGTGGATCTGTTTTGCCTGTTTGTTTTAACTGTAGTGGTTTTGTTCTGTAGAGTAGCTCGGAAATTGGGTTTCGCCTCCTGGCTTCTTGCGATAAACGGTTTCTGTGCAGCAATGCGGCGTATGCCGTTTTCTATTTTTAACGCCCAGAAGTCAGCCGTCACTCATAACCCTCCCGCGTGTCATAAGAAAGTTATACAGTAGAAGGAGTTAGCTAGTTTTACGTATTTCGGTTGCATCATTTTCAGCGAAGATACCAACCACTTAGAAGCTAGAAGGAGGCTTGCGCTCTGTTACAGTGCATTCGGTGATCTGTCCAGTATTTGAGCCGAGAGTCGAATATTATTTTACCGAAAATTTGCTTTTACCTCGCTTCGACCAGATCGTTGCTACATTACGGCGTGACGAGCAAAAGTGATTGTTGAACAGCGTATAAGAAAGCTAATTCCAGCGCGCTATGAGGATTAAATTGGAGAGTTATACAAGAGACTATTGGTTCTGTTCGGCAGATCTGTTGAACCTAAGTCTTTCGCTAGTGCCTGTGAGCTTCTCATACGGGAAGTGAAACGTCAAATATCGACCATTAGGCCAGGTTGCGACAAGATTGAACAGGAGCAGATCGGTGATCGTATGGGTTCAGTTTTTTTCGAAGATGTAGTAACCGTTGCAGCCAGAGCATCCACAAGCTGAAGACAATGGATGTCACAGCCGGTGAGCCTAACGTAACTTTAAATGGAAACAAACTCTTAAGCAATCGATTTGACTGGTCCGTTCTCCATTGCAATAGCTGTCTTGCTCGTAAGTATTCTGTACGGGTACCGGATCAGACTGTGCACATCCTGAAAAAGTTACC